CTGATCTAGTCTAACCCCTTCCTTTTTGCTGATGAGGAAACCAAGGTCCAGGGGAGGTCAATTTGCTCAAGATTAGGCAGGTATCACGTGGCAAAACTGGCACTGGAGTTTAGGCACTCCTTAATGCACATTTCAACGCTCTTGCTCTGATTTAAAAACAACAGCAAAATCCTGCCAGAGAAAACATGTTTTCGGCAATTAGTGTTATTGTCGTATTGTTTTAAGGGGTCAGTGGTTCAGGAGTGCTAGACTTAGAGTTAATTGGGAAAACCCTAGGTTCACACTTCATTCTGACACTTAATAGCTGTGTGTGTTCCCAGACAAGTAAAATAACATCACACTTTGTACTTCTGAACAATGGAGATAATCATACCTGAAGTTCCCTCTACCTATCTAGGTTGTTGGAACATCTCAAATGAGATGTTGCAAATTTTGAAAACCTTAAAGTGCTATGTAAAAAAAAAAAAGTCAAGAATCATTATTCAAGTTTTAATAAGCTTAAATTGTAAAATCCAAAATGATCTAATCCACCTTCCTAAACAAATCAGAATCTATGCTGTTTTTAAAGACCTTCTGAGAAGGGGATTCCACCATCTACTTTGGTACCCACTAGAAAGTGCTAATTAACTCTTATTATCAATTCAAATTGACCAACACTCAATTCACAGCCTACTTCTCACAGGGGCACTTGGCTAGGCTTTTGAGATCCTTTAAAATATCTACCCTAAATGCCAGAACACTAGGGCTTAACTGCTTTGCCTTTTGTTAGCTATATGAATGGAAAGCATCTGGTCAGTCCTCTGCATTATCATGTAGACTTTGTGTTTTCTTAAGAACTGTCTTTAGACTCCTTTAAGTTTTTCTTATTCTAGATAAACTGACTCTTCAGGTTCTGGGTTCAGATTTATATGCAAGATATTCTGTTGGTGAATATCTGTATTACTTTATGCTAGCTTGAATGTACCAGAATATTAAAAGTTAGTTAATTGAATTGAGATAAAAAGATTTCACTGTTTCTATATACACATAGGCAATGAATAATGTGGGATGTGTCATTGACTTGGTCTGTAGGTTGATTTGAATGACCCTATTCTGCATAGCCACTTCACCAGCTACACTACTTAATGAGCTTTTAATGGACGAAAATCAGCCCTACCTGGCATGGGAGTTGGTACTGTTGCTTTGGGGTGGAATAATCATTGACCCTGAGCAGCTGCTTGTAGGAGCCTGGGAGGGAAGGCATGAACTGCCAACATATGGAGTATAAAAATTGACCCCAATTTTGAGGAAGTTTTTTTTTAAATCTTAAAAGGTCAACTTTTATGCACTGTAATATATGGTATCTTGAAATAAGATTCTTTTGCCGACTCATGAGTTTTCTGTGACACTTGAGAGTAGTGAGAGCTGTAATATTTCATTGGCTGCTAAAGGTCTGTCTTTGCCATTGCTGTAAATGTTATATGGTTCTTTCACCTGATTGGTATTATGTGCAGCATGGGAAGAAAAAAGTCTCTAGAAAGACAAAGACTCACTAATAAAGAAAGATTAGAATAAATCAAGGGTTTCTACTGTTGTGTAGAATTTGTGGATGAAATAAGAGGGTCATTAATAAATGGAATTAGTCTGTTCTTGGTTAGAACAGGTATTTGAATAATTTGTCATGTAAGTCAAAGTAATACATTTTCATTTCTGCCTTGCCCCATAGCATTTAATTGATATTTACTTGTTAGGTTCTATAGATTGAGTATAGTATACTGAGGATGAATAAGCTTTTTTCATAGTACTTTTGTGTTTAGAATAATAATTAAATTGAAACTTTTTTTTTTTTTAAGTGAGGCAGTTGGGGTTAAGTGACTTGCCCAGAGTTACACAGCTAGGAAGTATTATGTGTCTGAAGTCTGATTTGAACTCAGGTCTTCCTGACTCCAGGACCGGTGCTCTGTCCACTGCACCACCTATCTGCCCTGAAACATATACTTTAACGGAGATGGTCACATACTTTTAAGATCTACTTCTTTAACTCATGTCCTGAGTCCATTATCTTCATTTTAGAAGAAAAAAATACTTAACCTAAAAGGGATAAATTTGTTAACAATACATTCCACATTCTTTTAGTGTGGGACATCTCCCCAAAGAGAATTGTTGTTTTAAATTTTATATGCAATCAGTCAATAAACATTTATGAAGTGCCTACCACGTACCAGGCACTGTTGTAAGCACTGGGGATACAAAGAAAGAGGAAAAGACAGTCCCTACCCTTGAGGAACTCGCAATCTAATGGGAGAGACAACATGCAAACAACTATGTACAAACAAGTTATATAAAAGAGAAATAAGTAATCAACAGATGAAAGGTACTAGAATTAAGAGGGATTGAGAAAGGCTTCCTGTTGAAGGCGGTGTTTTAGCTGGGGCTTGAAGTTGAAGAAAGCCAGGGAAAATGAAAATAAGGAGAGGAGAGAATTCTAGAGGCACAGTTAACAGCCAGTGAAAATACCCAGAGCCAAGAGATGTATTATCTTATTCAAGAAGCCAGCAAAGGGGATCAGTAGTGGAAATGCATTTATTAAATACAATGTACCTGGGATATAAATAAAAAATCAAGACAGCCCCTGCTTTCGAGGATCTCATGTTCTAATTGGGGGAGACAACCTAGAACGGATGTTTATGTTCAGTTCATGGCAGGTGGAAAAAAGAGAGTAGTATGGAAGGATAGGAAGCAGGTCAGCTGGCAAGGTCCAGGAGATCTTCAGAAATAATGACAGGGAAGTCCCTTAACAAGAAGATAGTATATTTAAGGCATAAAGTGGAGTGGGGGTGGGACTCTGGGATATTTCCAGCAGAGATAAGGATCCAGAAGGAGAAGGTCCTCAGCTGCCCATGGTGGGCCCTAATGGAGGTGGCTGATCCTGAGTCATGAGGCAGGAATTGACTGGCTGGAGTGGAGAAGGTAAAGGTTCTCCTTCTCCACCTACCCCCGATTTTGATGATAATAATGGTTCACATTTACCAATGGATAGAGTGCTGGACTTTGAGTTGAGGACACTCAAGTTAAAATTCTATTTTAGGTATTATCTATGGGACTATTGAGGTTTAGGGGTGCTGGGACACCAAAATCACAACATGCAGTTCCTGCCCAAAAGAATTTGACCCAAGCCTTCTTTCAGCCAAAGACTAAGTTTATTAGAACATCCTCCATATTGGCCAGACTCTTAAAGAATCTGATTGTTAGTGAGCTATTGGTTAGATTTTAAGAATCAGAACACCTTAATGGAGACAAGATGGACCTTATATACCGAAAGACTGTGGGAGAGATCTAGGAGTGGCCAAGTAGTCTGCAGGGACTATGAGGTAATAGAATGCTAGGGACCCCTGGACCATGTGGCCAAGGGAGAATGAGGCCTAGCTAGGATTAAGGGTGGGAAGTGGCTGGGGGGTGGAGGGAGGGGTAATGGGGGCATAAGGAGGTAAGACAGTGGAGGGCTAGGGTAGGTTAAGGGTAACAGAGAATTGGGAGATTGGGTGTAGCCACCATAAAAGGCTAGTGGAGGGGATTATAGCCTCAGGCTAACTGCAGAGATTTGGTCATGTGGGAAAGTCCAGGGTTTTTCTTTTCTGGGGTCCAGATCCCAACCCTATCAGGACCCTGATCAAATCATTTTCTAAGCCTCAGTTACTCATTTGTAAAGTGGGGATAATGCCACCTATTTCATGGGGTTATTTGTGTTTATCAAATAAGATCTTATATATTTATATATATGTATGTATATACATATAGTACATATAAATACATAAACACACATACATAGCCATAATTTTGTAAACCTTAAAGTGCTGTGCAGCTATTATTATTATGTACCTACTGTGTTCCTGGTAATTGAACTTTGCTTCTGTATTTGTTCTGATTAATACTTTTCTTACTTAGACTTGGATAAACTGTCATTTTTCTATCCCTTTAGGATAAAGGGATGAAGCATTTCTCAAACAGTTTTGATAATTTTTTTTGCCTTTTCAAAAGTAAAGATCATTAGATTTGGCTAGAATCACTCAGATTTTCTTGGAGCTAAAAATCATTTGGGCTGTTCCCCCACACCCTTCAGATTAGGAAACTAGTAGCATCCCTGAACCAAGACGGAAAATTGGATCTACAGGTTATGCAAAATGACTGCTTTGGAAAGGATCTCTAATGCTGAGCAGCTTTTTTTCCTTACTATAGTAAGCACTCAATTCTCTCTTCCTTCTTCTACAATAGATCTTGAACTTGCCTAATGTAAAACCTGGTGGGGAGGATCAGATCATCCGCTTATGCCCCATATCCATTAAAGAAACTTGAGGAACATTCCATCTCAGTTACATGTAGCCTGCGCTAAACACGTCTTACTCGTAAGAAAACAGAGTAGAATATGAGCTGCACCTTGCTTGTTTTACTTTGTGTCCATATCCACAAGCCCCTACTGTAGTGAGTGGCCTGTAGTAACCATTTAATAAATGCTTATTGAGTTAAAAGATGAATGGTTGTATAACTAGCTAACCTTATATAAAGTGGAGTGAGCACTGGCTTAGGAGTCAGAGGACCTGGATTTAAATTCTGCCTCTGAGGCTTATTGCCTCTCTGACAGTGGACAAGATATCTAACCTTCTAGGGTCTGCTTATTTGTAAAAATGTGAGGGTTGGACTAGGGGGCTTTGAAGGTCCCTTCAAGCTCCAGATCAATGGCCCTAGGAACAGGTTCTTTATGAATCTACATAATTTTTCTCTTCTAGAACTGACACGCTCTATCTTTCTCTGTCTCTCTCACTTTAACTCACATGACAGGAGCTGAAAAGCTTTGGAAGATCATATAAGCGTTAATTTCAGGAATGAATATAGAGGGATTTATTTTTGACACAGATGGATTGGTGCTAGTGCCCAATAAGCAAGACTACACACCAGACTTTGAGTTAGTGCCTGGCAGCTCCTTGGAACTAATGTGTGTCTTCTTTTTCCCCTCCCTTTATTAGGGCAGAGCTTGGGGTATGGCTTTGTGAACTACATTGACCCTAAGGATGCAGAAAAAGCTATCAACACGCTGAATGGATTGAGACTTCAAACCAAAACAATAAAAGTATGTTTGTGTTTTTTCTGTCAATTTTTGTAGCTGCTTGGAGCTTTATAGGTTGTTTGTTTTTTTGTCTTGTTTTGTTTTTTTAAGTACTAAAACAAAACAAAAAACCTGATGGGTGTGTGTGGGGTGGGTATGTATTTAAAGTTGGTTATAGTTAATCTGATCTCTGCCTATTTCTAACAGACTTTTTTTTTTTTAAGTGCAGTAGGTAAACTTGAAGTGGGAAAGAGAAATCAATCCTTCGCAAGTGCTACATACACCTTTATTAATGAGTGGTAATTGAGATTTGCTTACAGTAAACACCATAGAGAAATTATAGGTCTTCCCTTATGGATACTTTTTTGCCTAATAACTTTAGAAAAAATCCTTTTTTCCTTTTGCAAGTCCAGTTCAATTTGAGTTAAGTGAGTTTTGAGGGCTTCCCCATTTAATTTTTTCCATTCATCTGTCAGTGATATGTGTCCTTTTAGCTTTGGAATGCTTGGGATAACAACACAATTCCACAAGTGTACTATCCACATTTTTGTAAGTTTCTGAAAGCTGACTCTGTGTAGTATAAGAAGCTCTCTAGTCTGTAGATAACATAGATTCTTTCTTTTTAAGATGGAGAAAGAACCTTTGCTTCTGGAGTTAGTAAGTTAGTCTACAACCAAGGCAGTAATTAGTGAAAAGGGGAGATGAGATGCAAAGGAGTGGCAATAGTTATTTTTCTGGAAGCTATTTATGGTTTTGTTAGGTATTTGGAACGAGTTTCTGCTTGTTTTTGTTCAGGTTTTTGGAAACTACTTTATCAGCACTTGAAGTTGCCTCCCTCAGGACCTTTAAAAGTATTTGTTAGTCTATATGTTGTTTTGCCATTTTATATACTTTATATTGCCTAATAATATTAATTTTGTTTTTTAAAAACCACCTAGCAGTTCTATCCTATAAATGACCTAAAAAGGAATAGCCTGTTAAAATTTGCAAATGAATATCTGTGGCCTGAAGGGCCTCTAAGAGTTGAGGGGTTTTGCTTAGAGAGAGAGTACCTTGTGGAGAGATTCAACCTTCAACTCAAAGTCAATTACTTCTATAAAGCAGAGAATTGTATATGTACCAGAACACTTATCCAGAATTTTTTTTGACATAAAAATTAAGAAATCATTCTATATTCACTTCTAAGTTTGTATTGGCTTCTCTAATTACTAATATTCTTATGTGTATTCTGTGATATTATATAAAGAGATCAGAATGTATAGTAGCACATCTCTTACTGGGTACTCATAGTATACATACACACATGCACATGCACTCATACACAAAAAGAACAAACAAAAAGCATGTTTCTAGATGTGCACATGGCTTCTTCTCTTCTTTCTATCCTTGGTTCCATCATTGCTTTCTGGAAACTTTAGTTATTGTAGTTTGCCTCCTACACCCTTGAATATATGAGTAAATGGAATGAGGTAGGTAAAAGTGGAAGTTTACGCCTTTTCCCTATCTCTTTTCCAAGAAAATCCATGTCTCGATTAGTTATACTTCTCCATATAGCCTGACTTTTACTAGACGACCTGACTTCAAGTAGTGGTGGGGGGGAGAAAGTGAGGAGTGTTGGAAGAACAGGGAACCCTCTGGGGGGGGGGGGGGGGACTACAGTTAACAAGAGACAAGCTATTGTTGTGAAGTACTTTTCACTGACTTATGACTGAAGGTTTTATCTCTAGTTGGACTCAGCCTCTAGAACAGGTGGAGAAAAAGAATCTAAGGCTGAAGGAGTAGAGTAAAGGACAATAATGACTAGTGACTTTTACATTCTGACATCTGTTACTTCCTTTTTGATTTTCTGAGACAAAGGAGGAAGTAACAACAAGCTGTTCTTGCTCTCCCTTCCCCCATTCAATTCTTGCAAAAATATCAGATAACAGCTGGTACCCCCAATTTGGCCCAGATTTCTTTGGGAGGAAAAGCACAACCGCTTTCCAACCCTATATGCTATTTTATTTGTCTGTTTATTTTTTTCAAATTTTTGGTTTCAATTAGAGATGACTTGTGTTTTTTTTCTCTCTTAAAACATTATATTGAGCCAGATTTTCTTCTTTCAGTGCCCAGTCTATTCCTTGAGTCTAAGTACTTTCTGGAAGCTGTATTGTCTTTCAGATCCCTGGGGTATCCTTTCATAAATTTTTCTTCCCTGCCCTCCAATCCATCTGGCTTATTGTAATTAGACTAATCTTTCTAAAACAACACTTTCATTATGCTACTTGCTTACCCAAGAATCTATAGTATTTCCATAGTGCTTACCATAGTGTCTAAGCTGCTAACTTCAAATCCTATCCCCTTGCCATTCTTTCCCTCTTCTTTTCCCCAATATCCCCTTATTGTGTAGCCAATCTTACTTTCTAATACTCTCAAAATGCTAACATTTTGCTGCAGTTAAGTCTCTTCACAATCTTCTGGCCATACACATTAATTCCTGCCTCTGTGGTCATGCTGTGCCTGCTGTCTAGAAAGACCTCCCTATTCATCTTCATTGATGTGATTTTTTCCATACTTGAGGGGCCAGTCTCATCTCTTCCCTTAAGCCTTTGTCTATAGCTTCAACTCGTCTTTGTGCTGTCTCTAAAATCTGATAGCACTTTTAGTCTGTACTGTGCAATTTAGTGAATAATTATGTAATGTCTGGTTCTGTAACTGTTTCTAACCAGATACTATTCTGTCTCCTATTGGATTATAAAATCCTTAAAATTGAGACCATATCTTTTCTGTTATTAGCACAGTGCTGGGCACATAATAAACTGCCTATTGCAAATACAGTAAAAATGGATTTATTTGACTTTCCATTATCTGCAACCTCCTCAGTTGGAGTTTGTATATATTTACATATAGTATATTGATTTATGTCCATCATGATGACCTGATTCATTGTAAAATTTGGAAAAGCTTTCTGAGTTGTTAGACAAATTATGCTACATTGCATACAGTTTGTGTTAAGTTAGTTTATTTTATTTCCAATTTTGACAACTGGTAATCCATATACAAAATCTTTTCATTAAGCTATTTAAACCACTGTGTTCTATTTTCTGATTGTTAGAGAGTAAAGTTTACAAGAATATTACAGAGATCTGTAAATTATAAATGGAGCTTTAATAGAACCTAATATACAAAATACATTGCTCTGCTTTAAGTTATAGAGCAGGTGCTGACCTGTACAGATAGAATACCAAACTCATCAGGAGTTTTCTTTTCTATTCTCCATTGAAATCTCAGCCACAAGTCTGGTCTCATCCCCATACCCCTTCCTCCCTTTAAAAAAAAAAAAAAGTGTCTTAGAAATCAGGGAACATTTGAAATTTTGTTGCTTTTCAGATTTTATCAAATAAATTCCATGGTTAATTGTGATTCTGCCCTCTTGATTGTACAAATAATGAAATGAAAGCCCAGAGAGGTTGCGGCTGCCCTATAGTTGTATAGATAATAAATAAGTATTAAGTGTATGCTGTAATCAAAGCATAGTCTGTTGTAGGTATCAGATGGGAAGTTAAAGAAGTTGGAGATCTAAGATAATTTCCTTCATTACATTTCAAAATGGAGGTTCCTAGAGATCATTGTTTATTGATCCCTCTGGGAACTCACCAAGTGATTCTTGAGCCTGCCAGTTGGGGAGGCACGGGAGCAAGAGACATGTCCATTTCCATTTTCTCCAATAGTGTGTATATTTAATCTTACATCTGGTATAGGATAGAAGAAACTTTTTTCCTAAGAGCATAGTATGTTGGAGAAAAGGGGACACATGGAATTATTTTACACTGAAGACATGCTAGTGTTATTTTTTAAATATTTTCTAGTTTGAGGATAGTTTTGTTAGACTTATGTGCACACACATATGTAACATATACACATATGTGTGTATGTACACACAAATAAACACACATATGTATATATGTATATATACTTGAGATATTTTCATGTAGAAGCCTCTGATAATTTGGGAGTCTTGCATTTTGTGAATTAGTCTTGTCACTTGAACCTGCCTTTCCTTTAAACTTCTCATTTCTGTTGAGGGTACCACCAACCTCTCAGCTATTCAGGTTCATAACCATATTTAACTCTTCTTTCTCAATATCCAGTCAGATGTTTTGTATCTCTCATGTCTACATCTCTAATTTAGACCCTTATCACCATTTGTTTAGGCTAGTGTAAAAGTCTCTTAATTGATCTCTGTGCTTCCAAAATCTCCCCACTGTGATCCATCTTTTATATAAATGCCAAAATACTTTTCCTAAGGCACAGGCCTAACCATTTCATTTCCTGCTCATAAATCTTACAGAATAATCCTTAACCAGTCATTAAATTTCACCATAACCTGGTTCCTACCTACTTCTCCAGCTTATTTTAATACTATTCTCCTGGATTCTTTTGTGAAGGCAAAGTACGCCATCTTTTGCCTCAATTCTTACCTAGTCTTTAACTACTGAATGTTTGTTGCCTCAGACATACTGAGACCTGGGAAAGACCGTTGCTTAAAAAGGACAAGCCCTCCCTTTGCATCTGGGACCATCATCAGTTGTCCTGATCTATCTTGCCCCTGGACCGGAAGAGAGAGTGAGGCTGATGACTTTGCACAGCCCTGCTTCACTTAAATCCAGTTCACTTGCAAGTCAAGACATCATCTTCCTAATGTCCTCTTTGAGAACGAAAGACAAACAATAACACCAGTACTATTCCCTTTCATGAGCTCTTTTAATTTTCTTTTAGCTAAACTGAATTCTGTTAGATAACTGTTTCCCAAACTTGGCATTTGATTTCCCACTTTTGGACATTGTACAAGTTGTTGTCGAGGGGTTTGCATTCTAATGGGAGAAATAACAGGTATAGGAGAGTGGTAGCCAGGGAAGGGGACTTAATCATTTAAGTCATATGCATGGTAAGTGGATCCGTAAGTAGCAATTCTCATGCCCCTTCCAGAAGTGAAGTTGGCAAAAGGCAGTTTACAAGGAAATTGCCAGAGAGCAGGGAGTAAG